ATCGGGGCTGAGATCGGAGATGAGGGGAGATACATAGCTGTTGGATGGGATAGCGTCGAAACCGGAAGCGGACATGTTGCAAAACCGCCGCCTGCAAAATTTGCACCTTTCGAAGCGGACCTTCGGGCGGTCTCTGCGCCCGAAGGAGATCGGGAGGGAGATCGACCGGGCGCGATGTGCGCGCCAATGCACGGTGCCCAAGTGTGCGCCGAGCATAGGCGTTGCCCTGTGGAACGCAAAGGCGTGCCCGCCATAATTGGCGGAGCGCGCGCGCCAACGTATCTCCCGGGCGCCGGTATTATTATCGCGGCGCGCTGCCATCCCACGCATGCAGATCGTCGCGAGAGCACCCGCCGTCGCCATCCGCTTGTGCGTGAGCACGGGCCTAACGGCTGTAAGCCTGGCCGTTGCGCTCCGCCCTGACGTGCGGGGCCGCAACCGCCCCCCACCACAACCGATCACAAGCCGGGAGATTTCCACACCCCGCCCGCCGGCTATCCAACCGCCGCACACCGCCGCGAAGGGCTTCTGCGTCGTTGCTCGTCTTTGCGCCCCGCTCCGTAGCTGGGCGCCGCCCTGCACCGTGGACCGCGGCCCCCAGCGACCCCCTGCGCACAACATAGAATGCCCCAACACCCGCCTCCCGGGGCTCCACCGGACAAATACTCCAAATCATCCACCTGTCCATCATTCCATCCCGCCACCCTCCTACATTATCCTGGATACACACACCCAACGTCGTTTTTCTATCTCCGCTCCTCTCTCCCATCTCAATCCTCATTCCGGTTTTTTCTCCCGTTCTTGAGATTTGATCGCCACGCTCAGCCATGCCCCGTTTCCGCCACCGCTTTCGCCAACAATAACGCGTCCCGCCACCACCTTCCAATCTCGCAAACGACTCCCGCACATACAACGCTTAAACGCACCCCGAGCATTGAGAAACGATTCTGTGCAACGCCCAGCCCTGAATGCACTGTCCGTGCAGCTGCCTCTGTTGAGCGCTGTTCTATCCATTTCCCAGTCACTCTAGTCATCATACCTCACACCTTGCTCCGTTCGAAACACTTTTCTGTCATCACTATTTATCACTTCTTCATTCCAACCTGTCCTTCGTGCAGTAAAAACACCAGTGCTTGCTCTCTCCCTCACATCCCAGGTCTCGTCATCGCTTTGTGATCGCATAGCTATATTCGCACTTGTACAGTACACTCGCTCTACAACGGCACTGTCCTCAAAGAAACCTCTACCGCAAAAACCACCCCCCTTTCACTCTAGCTGCGCAATGTCAAACGAGTGTAGAGCCGCTGAGCATGCTCCGGCAGTCGCGACAGGTGTCCATTTGACCTTTCGCCTGCCGAATAATGCCGCTGATACTGCCGCCCTAAATCTCGCATGCAAACCCCTAGTAAAGCAATTCCGATCACGTATACCGAACACGTCATCACGTGCATTCCGAAATTGCCCACAGACCATCTTCCCGTCTTCTCCTTCTCAACCGTCTCACTGCCCTCCCTAGTCTTCCACAAAATGCTTCGCCCATACTTCACATGTAAGCTGCTCCCCTTCCCGGCTTGCCTCTCTAAAAGCTCCACTAGGCAGTCGTAGCTTGCTTGCACCCCTTTGCGCCCACTTCGACACAACATCGCACCCTTGAAGAGAAGCTCAGCGACTCTCGCTTCGTCGCGGCCCTTCGCGATCATCATCACTTTATCCGCGATCCGCGAGACGCACAGTAGCTTGCGCGATGCATTCTGCTCGTGTACTGTCGAGCACGTACACACCATCCGCCGGATCCCAAATACACCGTGCGCTTTCTGACACTCCATCTGCGCCTGCAGAAACTCGTATTCGTCCTCTTCTTCGCTTGTACCCCACCCGTCTTGTGCCCCTTGCCCCTGGTCCCCGCCCAAACTCCTTTCCTCAGATTGAGACTTTGAGTAGGAGCCTCCGGTACCACTTGGCCTGCGCAGAGGCACCACGATTTCGTACCCAACCTTGCCGTCGCCTATCGTCCGAAGGTATATGCCATCTACTGCAGGTTCTGACCTTCTCAGCATGAATCGGTACTCAGACGTAGTCGCTTTGGGTGCCTTCGAAGCTGCACTTGAGTTGCTTGCCCAGTTCAATAAAGCCTTTTCTTCCACTTCCACAGCAAGCTCCTTCTTGTAAAATACTGCCCGAAGTGAAGTCGCACCTTGCTTCCCATCATCCGGAAGATAGTATTCCCTCCCGTATACTCTAGCAATCAGCATCGTATCGTTCATAGACATCATTCCGTATGCTCTTTTCTTAGGCCCTGTCATGAATCGCCCGAGGTACAGCCGTATATCTTCAAGCGACGCCGAAATGCCTTCCAGAAACGACACGACACGCATCTTTGTTGTTACGACGTCCGTTGAACTTGTTTCGAGAGCATGGCCCTTTGTCGTGTTTGAAGTGGCAAGCAGCCCCGTCTCATTTTCAGACCTAATCGTTGCATTTAGCAACGGCAAAAAAGGTGGTAGAGGTGATGGATGAGGTGATGGATGAGCCGATGTAGCAGCTGAGGAAAGGTTCGATAAAGGAGTTGACAGAGGAGCCGATGTAGTAGCTAGTAGGGAGTTCGATGGATGGGCTAACACAGGAGCCGAGGGAGACGCTGAGGGAGACGCTGAGGGAGAAGCCGAAGGGAAAGCCGATGGACTTTCGGCACGGTTAGTTGCTTTCCCTTCCTTTGCAGACTTTGACTCCGATTTCGGCGTAAAGAAACTTCCAAATTGCCGCTCCATCTTTCCGATCAACCCATTCTCAGACTTGTTAGCGTTGATACTATCAGTCTTGAAAGGGGCCTCATCAACTTGCCCATTGATACTTGTCACTAGTAATGATTCCTTACGATCCTTCACCTCCCCACCAAAAGACACTGCCGCAGAATGTGCAATGCAAACCAGGGTTCCCAATCCAGCAAGCCAACATAGTTTCCATAAAAATCCTCCGCTCATCACACAATGAGACTTGCTCGAGAAGGATTTGCTTTTCGTAGACAGCGGGGCGCAACCCTAGAACTCCTCACCGTCTCGCAGGAAAGGGTTAAGTTGAATGGCACGGAGACGATTTTGCGCTTGGACCAAGCCAGGGTAACCCCAGAGTTGGAGTGCCCGTCCCCGCGTGCAGACATGAAATCTGCGGCAAGAGAACGTCAGGAGCTCTTGGAATTAGAAGCATCCGTCAAAATTCGCCACTGCACAGAGGCCGAGGAAAACAGCAGCCCCCGTGCGGTATTTCCCGCCCATTCGATGCCACTTCACATATCGGTACCTCTTCTTTTCACGTGCAAGTTACAAGAAAATAACAGTGGTGCTCGTTCTCGACGGGTGGTTGAGGTCGTCTCGATCACGTAAAGGAGGACTCTGCATCCTTTGTTGGGGCACTCAATTAGAGTCTTGACCAAATTTTCAAATTTCTCCCCAACAGCTTTGCGTTTAAAGAAAAAAATTGATCCGGAGAAGCCGGATGCAGAACCGATCCATTTCACCAAGGCGCTCACAGCTGACTTGAATTATTCAGTCTGGTGAGTCACTGCTTTCGAATCGGTACTAGCTGGGATGGTTGTGCTAGGGAATAAATTTGAAGCCATCTCTGCATTTTTTTTATATACCAAACGTTCACCTCCGTCCGTACCCCCAATGCATGAAATGGCGTGCAGGATACGGTTATTTTTATCGCTTTTTGGTATCCGTAGCATAGTGTACAAAATATTTTGCGGTTGCCTGCCAATCTCAGAACAGTCTTCTTTCAGATGAGGGAAACCTTGCAAAGCGAGCACATGTCTCATCGTCCATGAAGTCAACGTCGAGCCTGCCATTTGTGTTGCTCGGCTCAATCTGTTGATGGTAACTGCTTCTATGTTTTTGGACGACGAAGTAGCTTTGATTTCATGATATGCACAAGTATTGTTCATTCGTTGCCCCCCTGAGATGTAAAAAACGAGGCTATATCCTTGGCCTTTGAATTTTGTGATGTCTCCTTTTTCATCGGAGATTTCTTGGGCTTCAGTGCTCTGTTACTTGGGGAAAGCATGGATAACTTTCGAACGCCAACACCCTTACCCACTTTCCCTAGTGGGGCACCCTTGTAACTGTTGCTAGGAAGCGTGCTTTTAGGATCTAGCGGCGTCGCCTTCGGCGAAGTGGGTTTAAAGAAGGAAGTGATATCTTTCTTTTTCCTTGCCCACTCCGGCACAAAGCCTTGAAACAGGTGCTTAACATTGATACCAGCCTCTTCGGCAACGAGTTGGGCATACCTTTTAGCGCTCTTCGGCGCGACAGCGTCCAGGTCGTTGAGAAAGAAGGAATACTCTGCATACTTGGGACTTTCCTTCGTGGCTGCAGCGGCGAGTTTCGCGAAACGTCTCAGCACAACGTCTGGAAACTCGGTAGTGACCCCCGGGGTTTTCGAGCCGTGAAAGCGGTTGTACGACCAAGAAGCGGTCGGGACGTTCGCTTGACGACAATGCGGCAGGGCAAGGTCATCGAGCTTCGAAAAATCGTTGTCCTGGACGACGATGTTATTGACCAGGGCGATATCATGTCTGGCGAGGAGCTCGAAGACGTGCGGGCAGAACCAATCGCGGTTGCGAAACTCCAGGGCGACGCGAAGGTGGACGGGGGACTCCTCCTTGGCGGCGTCGACGTCGGCGACGAAGGCCTCGAGCAGGGCCATGGACAGCGAGAGGGAGGGCGGGCACTGGAAGAGGACGGGGCCCAGGTGGTGGGCGAGCCCGTCCGCGGCGACGCGGAGAAAGGAGCGGATGTCGTCCGAGGCGGCGACGAGACGCTTCGTGTGGGTGATGAGCTTGGGGGCCTTCAGCGCCAGGCACGTGGAAGGCGGGGCGGACTCGCGCCATTTGGAGAGGGTGGAGGGGCGCGGGAAGGCGTGCCAGGTGGCGTTGATTTCGACGGAGGGGAAGCGGGAGAGATAGTAGGACAGCTCGGAGGACTGAGGGGTGGACGAAGGGTAGAAACGCCCCTTGCGCCAGTGCGGGTAGACGTAGCCCGCTGTACCGATGAAGATGGGCATGGCGGATAGATGGGGAGAGAGGGGAGAGAATGGTTTTGGCGGAGGCGTGTTCCTGCGCTATAGGTTGGTGAAGAAGGTCTTCCCGGATAGGCACACGCTGCCCTTGCGGCAACCTGATTGCCTGGACGAATGATTCGGCACGTAGGTGCGCGGATCAAAATTGTCGCAAGTCGCGAATCGAAATGCCATAGGGGAACGCAATCCACCCGAGTCTAACACGTGTCGGTGCTACGTGGCAACGTGAATCAGCAACGTGAATCAGCAACCTGAATCCAGAGTGCTTACCGTAAAAGTACAGGTCACACCCCTTCACAATTAACAATTTTAAACACCTTGTGCACCCCTGAAACGTCACTTCCAATACTGTAAAGTTAGACCCCGTCACATCCCCCGTTTCCTTTCTTTTTTTCCCTCTCCCCTTTTGCCCATTCCCTTTTGCCCATTCCCCTTTGCCCATTCCTTCCAGCTGCCCCGCCGACCACCCCCCTCACCAACCAACTCTGTTTCCGAAAAAAAAAG